TTTTCTTGACAATAATACAGAATATAAAAAAGCTAAATACGTACTTTTGTAGGTCATAACCTTACATCTTATGTATTACACAATAAAATAAAAAAATAAAATATAAATTCAAAATTATGCCTAAAATTTTTCATTTTTTCTACTGTCATTAATTTTATATCACTATTTCAGCACATATCTTCTTTTTTTGCTTATTATCTCGACTCTTTTTTCTTCAACTTTTTACACACTCTTAAAAAATTATTAAAAGTATTCATTTACCTCACATCTATACTCTTAGCTACTTGGCATGCAGGTCTTGGCTAACAGTAGAAAAGTCAGCTATCCTACAGATAGATGATCTTTCAAGAATAAATTAGCTAAAAGATTGGTAAGAGAAACAATAGCGATTCTTATCACTGATGTTATAGAGTTATTGTCCAACGAGACATCAACTGAAAATTTCATGAATGAAAGAAAAAATAAGAGAAACAGTTCTTCTAGAATTCGATAATCTTAACCTAAAGATTAATGCGAATCATTTATCATCAAAATGAGATTGATTACGTTGATTTACTGATGCTTCATATAACATAAAAGTGCATAACCTATTTCTAGAACATTATTTGCTAGGACAATATAAGCTTTCATCATGTTTTTATATCGTTCAACAAGAAAGAAGCCATTCTTTCTTGATTTGTAGCACTTCACAGAAAAAGAAATATTTTCCTGAAAGTTTTTTTCAGTAGAGTAGCCTTCTTCTTCTTCTTAATTGTAATACTTTTAGACATCGTTATCACATAGTAGAAAGATTTACATTGCTTTAAAATAAAAGATGAATAATCAAACGAGTAATACATCATTTTCATTAAATGGTCAATGTTTTATTAGTCAAATTCAACGTAGTATAACTATACCTGTTTTAATCATATTCGCACTACCATCATTTGTCTGTTTTCTCATAATATTTTATTATTTTATTCAACAACGTAAACCATTGCTTGTTGATCGTATCAATCATCACGTTATTTTATTGATATTGATCTTTGATTTTTTATTAATTACGACTGAATTACCATTTACATTGTCGTATCTTGCATTAGGATATGCTCAAACATCAAAAATATGTACATTTTGGGTCTATTGGGATTATATACTTGAAACAACATCTCTATTTTTAACTATGTATGCATCTGTTGAACGTTATCTACTGGTATTCCATAAAAATAGTTTTTTAAAACGAAAAGTATTATTCCATTTTATTCCAATGAGTATTGCTACTCTCTACATTCCTATTCTCTATTTGTATTTGATCGTTCTTTCTCCATGTGTACGTAATTATCAATATGATTTAACAGCATTTACTTGTGGTGGTGCATGCTTTTTTGCCGAGACCTCGGTTAATACATATGACACCATTGTTGACACCATGTTGCCCTGTTTTATTGTATTAATTTTTAATCTACTAATGATTATTCGTGTTGTCATCCTGAAACGAAAAGTAGCTACATCAGTACCGATCTCCGATACATTGAGACGAAATCGCCGAATGATCGCCCAATTATTAGCCATCAGTTTAATGTGTTTAATAGCTTGGATGCCTTGGGTTGTAATAATTATTGCACAAAATTTTTTCGATCCATCTTTTGGTACCTGGTTTATTACTTACATTCTTCATTATTTACCATATTTAACATCTTCCGTATCACCATTTTTAGCCTTGATCGGTTTACCAGAGGTCAGACAAGGACTGAAGATACTGAAGAAACAAACGATAACTACTAAAACTACTACTGTTTCAGCTCCAGTACATGAAATGTCAAAAACAGCAGAAAAACGAAATGGCCCCAACACGACTAGCTTTGAATTGAAAACTATTGAACATGATGAAATCAATGTTCAAACCACCTAATTTTCATGAGGAGTACAACGTTGAAGTTTATGGAGAGGTACTCAGAATGGAATAATTTTTGTTCAGTGTCGCTGAGAAAATTCAAATCTGTCCTTATAGTCAATTATATGCCATCTCATATCCTCTTCGGTGTGCCATCAGTTTTATAATGTTTGTAATACTATTGTCTGCTTTTATTATATATTTTATTCGTTTGTGTATATTCGTTTGTGATTATAATTAAAATTAATAAATTATTGAAACATTTCGAAACAACATTTCTTAAAACTGTATAAGTTCCATAACAACTTTTGCTTTTTATATGGCCAAAACGGCCAAGTCGGACACGAGACATTGTGATAATCAACCATAAGTTTAAAGCAAATTTAGTTGACATTCATCTCTTTGTTGATTTTGAAAATTCCAGCAAGCAAAAAATATTTTCTTCTTAAGAAAACTTATTTGCAGGATTGCCATATTGTATAATAGACATAGAAATTCGCTCTACTTGTAAGTAATATCTAATGCGGAGAGGAAAACGTCTTTTCTTGTTGAAGTTTTCGGGTATTCTTGGAGCTATAAAATAGCTGATTCATCATTGATTAACGATTCTCAGAGATGCCGAGTCAGAGAAAGTGGCATAGTTTTTCGAAATCAGAGATTATACGTTGGATCGTTTGACAACACACATCCTTTCATGAAATCTTATCAAGAACTTCGTTGAATGCATCAGGATAAATGATGCATGAAAATCACAACTCTTCTGTTCGAAATTGTGGATGATGTGGCGAGTGAAGGAAATAAGTACGAATGTTTGATTTTAAGTATTCAAGAGACATAAGGCAGTCAGAAGGACTACATATAATACAATATTCGAGGGCATCGATTTCAACAAGACAATATATCGGGTTCACTCAAAGGAATGTAAATCTCAATACGATAGATATTTTCAACAGCTTGAATGAACACATCAAAGATAAATATTTGTCGACTATTTGTTCTGTATTAGAACTTTCTGGACAATATGTTTCAACATTGGTCATACAACAGCAGTAATTGTAGATTTGTAACAGACCTGATCGATGCCATCACTATACAACATGCATTAATTGTACTAGGATTTCATACAATGACGAATAATTACTCTGTGATGTTTCCTACCATGTCGATTCTTAGATTTCTTCCATACAGTCTGGCCTGGTGACATTTATTTTATTAGGAAGGATTAATAATGCATTTCTTTGACTTTGAAACAACTGATCATTGGCATTGAACATTGACATGCCAAAAACTTGGGACGTCGAAGCGGCTTCAGATCCTAATATTTCATATCAAGTTTACAGCAGCGAAAAAGATATCAGAGAGAATAGATCAACATTCAAAAACCATTGTCTGGAGTCGAACGTTTGTTTTCGTGAATGAGACTGACATGTGGGAGTTGGTCAAGAGATTGCTTGACCATCTGAATAGATGCAGCACGAACTGTTAAGTAGTGGAAAAGATATGAGTTCCAAGGTAAATTAAAATACAGTTCACATGGTATCCATACAGAAATTGTTCATAAAGCATCTACATGATTATGAATTAAACTGAAAAAGCATGTAGCTATGGCTCAACCAACAGTAAACCTTCATCAAATTTGAACGACATGTCTTTTTACTTCTTCGCCCAATCGTATATTTTACAAAATGATAGGTTTCAAATATAATATCTCATGGTCTAATCACTTGACAGTCAGAGCACGACGTAAAATACTTGAATAATTTTTCTACGTCATCGAAAAGTTTGAACATAAATATCTATATCTCCCGTTGTTTTGTATTTAGCTGTGCAAATCTATAATAAACTGGTTTATAGGACATTTTTCTTCATTTTACTTGAATGTACAAGTGTTTCAAACAGTTAGTACATATTTTGAAATGAACATATTATCCACTCATTCAAGATAGGGTAAAATAATTAAAAAGGAAACCGTTATCCATATCCAAATTAGTGTGAAACATGACTGTTGGACACGTAGTTGATCTCTGTTTGAAGAAGAAACCAACTTTTTTTCTCTCACGTATTCAATCTTTTGGATGTGAGATATAGATGGACGTACAATGTAGTATTGTTCAACTTTCCAAATATGTTTAGATGAAAGATCATAACTTCGATTGGCACTATTAATAAGAAATATTCTAGTAATTTTACTGATGAATAATTAGAACAAGAACTAAATAAAATTGAAATTAGATTATCATTTACCGATTCAAATTAGAATTTATTACGAGAGAAAACGAAGAACTTTCTTTTCAAACAAAGGATACCGATTGATTTTACTTACTGTTCAAATATCAGTACCTGTCCAAGCAAATTCTATTGATTATGACAGAAATACTATGTAGATGATATGATCAATAAAATCATACTAACCTTAAGTACACACGAAATGTAAACAATTTACAAGAAGATTGATTCATACTCAATAACGAGGATAAATTCACATTTATAACTATGTGATATAAAATGTTTGCTTCATGTTTCCTATTATTTTATTCAAACTTTTATTTGTGCTTTAATTTTCTTTTTGTTCTTCACTTGATAGATTGCTGATTACACTATATTTTCATTGTAACTTGTGTTTTATTTCAATTCCACGATCTCTTCTTTTTATTGATCGTTTGATTAAATTTTCTGTTTTAATACTAGATGCATCGAATAATTGAACTTTGCATTTTTATGTGTCTAAAAACAACACACTAATTTATTATTCTGTTATTATTTAACCTCAATAATCAATCGATTTCTATCGTAGATATACAAGTCATTCTCTGTTCCCATTAATTCACTCTCATGCTAAATGATAATTACAGCCGCCTTCTATTCTATCGAATCGAATAAAAAGATTTTCAATAAACCATGCACATACAGAGGATAGTAGAAGACTATCAAAAGAAAATATTCGTAGGATTTTAAAGAAAATTAAACAAATAAATCAGTGGATTACGAAGTTTATTGTTCTGTTTACTTATGATATTCCATTTATTGCGCCACCTGTATATCAATCGATCTATACTATTCATTGGTTAGATAAACATAATTTCAAAGGAAAGAAATCTAATGGTTGAAATCATTCAAATTTATAAAAATGTCGAAATTATCCAATACACGTTCTGTTCGATCGACATATCCAGGTCTTTTATTACTTATTGATTATGGTTTAAGTGAAAAAACTATTCAAGGTATTTGTCATGGGCTTGATCAACTATTTAGTGTTATATCGACGTATGTTGGTGTACAACGCATACCAATGTTTGGACTAATCGTTAATGGACAACATCAAAGTGAAGTATGTATATTCTTTATTATTTAAGTCATCCTAAGAGTAGGAACAAAAAATATTTTAATTTCTTATAAAAAGCTAGAAGAAATCTTCTCTCCATATAATCTGACAGTACAAATAATGCTCCACATTTCTCTCATATTTCGATCATTCTTCAAATAATATCATAATAATGAGATTGTGATTAGAGCTATTGATTATAATCTATGATGGAAATATTAGATCACATTTTGCTCTTGGTGTGTAATCTTCTTTTTTTCTCGCCTCTTTTAGTGTCTAGCTGTCTATACATATTAAAATATACAAAAAGTAGTGTTGGTAGAACAAAAAAAGAAATACAAAAACAAGTTCATCAAGTCTTTATTTCATTGAATATTCGAAACAATCGTTCTTTTTATTTAAATTCCATTGTATAGATTGAATCTATTTAAACAACATGTTCCTATGTTATTCTTTACTCAAAGAATCGAGGAACTTATTTCTAGATTTTTTCTCTGTTTTACCTACACCATTTTTTGTATATTTTAAAATGCATAGACTGCTAGACATTATAGAAGGTGAGAACAAAATGAAGAACAAAGACACAAAATGTGCTCTAATATTTTCGTTAAATAATATAATAATTAGCTTTTATCGAAACTTTATTATTTGAAGAATAATCAAAAGATCGTAGAAATGTAGAGCAGTGTTTTTAGTATTGGACTGTATAGAGAGAACGTTTCTTTAAAATTTTTATAAGGCATTAAAATATCTTCGTCATTACTTTTGGTATGACCACAGTATTTTTTTTTTTCAATTTGATGATTACTCTAGATTTTTATTCCATTGTCATTAACACATAATAATCATATGGAATTACAATTAGCATTGTGTAAATTGCAACTACTTGCTCAAAAATGGTCAATAAAATCAAATGGATTTAATATTTCATCAGTATCATGGCAATCTGCTTTACAATTAGCTTACATCGAAATTAATTCAGTTATTCAGAATAATACTGAAACTCAGGTGAGTTTAATTATGATTGTAATATTTTCTTTGTTATTATTGCTGGCATATCTTTTGAGTAAAATATCTTATAGATCGATCATTTAAAAAACAAAAGAGCAATAGAGATAAGAATTAATATCCTTGAAATAGAAACCATGTTAGTAGAAACTTTGGAAGAAATATATATATATATATTTCACAAGAATGATTAAAAAAAGAAAGAGATAAGTGCAATGGGAAATGCAATTATCAGAAAAAAAAACGATAAGAAAATCATTAAATATCATTCTTTAAAATTTTTATCTAACAAGGGAACCCCTCCAAATGTCAAATTACTTTTCGACTGAGATGACGTTCATTCGATGAATAACATAAAAGTCTAAAGTGGTTTGCTTTTCTGAGTCTTCGTTCTTGAGATATGGAAATCTTATGTGATTTTGTAACAAAAAGCTGCGGTCTCCTTCAAATCATGTGGATAATCGACTTTCGAGTTTCAACCTCGAAGTTTGCACGAACAAAGTTCTTAATGAAACTTGTTGATTGTGCAACTAACGATTCCTTTCTGAAAATGTCGATCGATGAACACAATATGCTTTTATACATGAGAGAATTATAAATATTGAATATCTCAGGATAAGAGATACTAGAAAATTATCTAGTTCCCTCGTAGACTAATCTTATAGACAATTTCGTTCATGCAAATTTTAAAGCCATTTCTTCATGTGACCACAAATTTTTGTTGAAAAACTAGTACAATATCGATATCTCAAAAACAAAAGCCCGAAAAAATCAAACCATTCTAGATTTTTCTATCGTTCGTTAGCACTCATCAAATAAACATCCGACAGTTTTTTGAATATCATCATCTCTATAACATCATTCAATCTTTTTCAAGGACTTCTATGAATTATGCCATTTGACGACATCCAACGAATAGTCTTAAAAAGGATATCATTTGGTGAATTATTCTCAATACATTCAATGTGTTAAACATAACGAAAATGACTTTCAATCATTTTTTTACCTTGTATCAAAGATAAGCAGCTTCAACACTAAATTGAAGTTAACTCTTGTTTAGCAAAGTTAAGAAAAATCGACAATGAGACAGCCATATATACATGTATGTGACTTACATCAGCTGGTTATTAGAAAAATTCACACGAATTGTCTTATACAGTATGAAATATTTGACTTTTCATTTAATTCATCATAATGATTATGCTTTTCACGCATCAAAAATTATGTTTTCGATATAGAAACTATGAAAAAAAAAACATCAGCTAAAATATGAATAGAGGAAAAATAATGTCACAGATAAATCGTAGTGATGTTTGGTTTTGATATCATATGATAGATTAGTTTTGCTCATCCAATGAAGCAATCATAATTTTTTGAAAGACCTTGTCATAATTGCGGTTTTTGTTTCACCAAAAGCGACACGTTTAACTTGCAGCGGTCCAAAGTCTAATCATTTCTCGTTACCTGTATAGTTACCCACAGTAAAAAAACACATCAAGCATGACTTTATTTTGATTATTGCTTAAATTAACTATCTTTGTGTAATATTATTTTGACAGTCGGTTTTGTTTGTAGTTTAAAGATAGTCAAATGCAGTTGAAAATAAATCAAAAGCACCTAAAACTACGTAGATATTCAGATCGAAAATACGGATTGAATGATCTTCAACATTATTACATTGTAATGTATGTAATGTTGCATATCTTAGTTTATTCTAGAAATCTTTAGTGTGATATTATAAAAAACATGTTTACATTTCACAGATCATATCAAATTTGATTAATCATAATTTTCAAATTGTTATTTTAACCAATCAAGTATCCGATTCAGTCATTTCGAATATTCATCGATTTACTCAAAGCAACCATATCGATAAAAACGTATGTATTATATAAATATGATCATATGACTGTATGTTTACCTTTTACCCTCAAATAATTTCTTTTCTCTTGTCTTTCATCTTGCTATGTCTCAATAGAAAGATAGAAGAAAATTATAACTGCCTACTGAATACTATATTGCATACCAAACATTCTTAATTAGTAATTTTTCTTTTTTGTTATTCATATATCATGAAAAACAAATGACGTCATTTGTTTAATATCGATTTTTTTTTCCTGTTCTTCATCTATTTTATACAATTACATACAAAAACAAGAGGTATAAAATGTCGGTATTTTTGTAATGTGGTTTATTTAGAAAATCGAATTAGTATGTGTTAATGACGATAATAATATAGAATCATTCAAGCACAACATATCATCATTAGATTTGATCAATATCAAATATGTATTGAACAGTAAGTTATGCTAACAATTTATTTCGTTTATTTGAATTATTTTTATATTCATAGATAAATATTCGATTGGTCTTTATTTTAAATCATGGTTATTAAATGACGATCATGAAAATGAACATCTTCAATTGTATTTACCTACGATTGAAAAAAGTAGTTTATTTTTTTTTCTTTATTCATAAGCATCTTCATCTGCTCTTTTTTTTTTGTTTGATGTTAAATTAGGAATCGAAAGATTATTTTTCTAATTGAGTAAGATAACAAAGATTATTCCTTCTATTCAAAGGAGAGTAATGCGTAGATGAGCTACAACAACCAAATGTTCGCACATTTATGACACAGAAGGAAATAAAGTACACTTAAAGAGTAAGTGAAGCTGAATGTTTTGAGAAAAATGAAATTAAAAATGTTAAACCATTGCAATATTTTTTTTAAACTTTCATGAGTGAGTTTTTGTGATATAGATAGGCGTTGAAGAGTTTACAACACAATATGGTGTTGTTTCTACTATTATTAATATATTAGGATTAATTATGTGTAAGAATTTAAGCATTGTAAAAATCTAGATAAATCAATGAAATTCAAAATTTCGTGACAGATTATTTTATTTTCGTTTCACTAGAGAGCTTCGTGACATCTGTTTTTCGTTATTTATTATAAGATATTGTCATTGCTTTTGTATAGGACCTATTTATATAGCCTTGATTTCTATATTTCGTTTCTTTTACCTCAAATGAATTACAATACTCATGATCAGTTATGCAATAACTAGGCGATAAGATAAAATTATTGTTATTGTTCGAAGAGAAAAAAATATTTTAAAAAAAAATTATTGTTTTGTAAACTAATTCGTCTGAATTTCAATGTAACAAATTATTGTTAACAGTAGCTTTATTACTCGAATTAGGTTCAGTATTCTCGTTGTTAGTATATACACATATATAGAGGAAGAGTGAGAAAAGTTGAAAATGTGAGTTGTGTGATTGTTAAAGGAAACTTGTTATTAAATATTTACTTCAGTACATCATGGCGTTGTTCATTTCATTAACGAAGTAAAAGTATGATTATTTTTTCGCTTTTTTGTCTTTAAATAAAAGAAAAATAAAGAAAAACTACAATAGGATCAACTGAGTTAGTCTCAGACTCTATTTCGAAAAGTTTGGATCCGATGGAGTCTACTCTCCAATATAATAAGAATAAATCTTTTTATACATGAGAAAAAACAATATAAATTATAAATAGATAGACGTCAATATGATTCATATTAATACGTTGAAAAAAATACGTCATATTTATTGTTTAGCTGATCACGTTGATCATTCGTGGCACATGATTCGATGTGATTTACAAGAGATATTAATTGATCCTCATCATCAAGTTAATCATGATAGATTTGTAAGATTTATATTGTTCATTTTTATTATTATAAATATATTTATAGTTCATTTATACTGAACCATCAAGAATATCAACATTAACTACAAATTCTTCATCGTTATTATTGTCAATTTATCAATTAAAAGCATTGAATTTTATTAAACAAACAAATTATTGTATATCATTGATATTTGGCATGGTAATATAATTTTCAAAAAAGAAAAATGAAAGAACTTATTCTTTATTTTTTTTATAGCCGCTTCTTGTAATATCATCAGCATGTCATAAATATGATATTGAATCCATTGAAAAAAATGAAATCGCTTTTGATACTTTAACAGAATATTTACGTCAAAACGTAAGTCATTGTGCTCTTATATTCTTTGTTATCTATTTATTCACGTAGGAATTAATGTTAATTTGTTGTTTACATGATTGTTCATCGTCATCAATAATGAATCAATCATTTTCTGGCCATTTTGTTCTTTCAGTTGCTTCAGAACATAGTTTAATATTACGTTCAATTGCTTCTAGTGAACTTCTTTTACCATTACCAAACTTAACACGTCAAATAATTAAACATGAACAAAAACACAATGATGAAAACTTACTTAAAAGTCTATCTAATGTATGTATTCAATTTCAAATGAATTTATTTCTTTTAATATAATTTATGTTTAAGATGAATATTGAAGACGAAGAATATAATCCATTATATTATGAAGCTCGTAAGAGTAAAATAACTTTAAATACAAATCTCATTTGATAAAACTTTGCTTATTTTCTATAGCAAAAAAATAGAATAAAATGTGTGATTTTTTTTTTTTGTAGATCTATCATTCTTGTTTCCTTTCCCCTTCTCTTTTTTACCATTCTACATCATCATCATCATCATCATCATCATAATCATCATTAATGGCTGTTCGACGATTACAACAAGATTTTCGACAATTAATGAAAAATAAAGTAGATGGAATTGATGCAAGTCCATCAGCAGACAATATTCTTCTCTGGAATGCTATTGTTTGTGGTCCAGAAGAAAGTATTTATGAATCTGGTACATTTCAACTTCAATTAAGCTTTCCAGAAGATTATCCAAATCGACCACCACAAGTTCGATTTATTACAAAACTCTTTCATCCAAATGTTTGGTGGGATGATGGACTTATTTGTGTTGATATACTTAAAGATGGTTGGTTACCATCTTATGATGTTTTAGCAATACTTCATTCAATTCGTCTACTTCTTATTGATCCAAATCCACTTAGTCCAGCTAATTTAGAAGCTGCTTTGCTGTATCGTGATAATCGAGTTGAATATAATCGACGTGTTTTACAGATGATTCAAGATACACTCGATACGGATGATGAAGATGATTATGATTATGACGATGACGATGATGATGATGATGATGATGATGATGATGATGGTCAAGTTGAAGATGGTGATACACAACGTCAAAAGGCGACAATTCTTCGTCAAAGCATCACCGAATGAATATTTCATTTAATTAAGGACATAATTCTTTTTTTTTTAAACTGACTTCATTTCATTAAGTTTTTTGCTTCACGTGTATTTGATGCATTTTGTTGGTTTCAATTAATGTTGTATTTCACTTTTTTTTTTACACTACTATTTATTGTATATTTAGTGATACTACTGCATTTTGATTTCTTGTAATTGCTTTGTTTTATTTTTGATGCTGCATAATTAAGTTGATTTTTTTTTAAACACAATAAAACATAAGTGAGCGACTTTTTCACCAAGAATAAACACGTAGAATATTTTTATAGTTTTTTTTTTGCATATGAAAATACTTGTATGAAAACGACCCAATTTAAATAACTTCTTAGCAAGTCAAGGGATTTAAATATTTTTTTTTACAGTTTGATCACATATTCATTAAAGTTTTCTTCATGATCGAATTCGAATAAGTTAGTATTGTAAGATGGTACTTACAAATTGAATTGATAAAAAATACATCAACTGAATCATATTTCAGCGATTTTCTGAGACTGCTACTATTGAAAATCTATGACATTCTGAAAATCGGTACAGTTATTATTGAAGAAAAAGTCGATGAAATTAATGACACTTGTGTACATGAACTAGAATCAAGTATTCGCTCTATTGTACAAACTTGCTCATTATCACAAGCAATAATATATCTAGTTTTGACGAAACAACTCTTATTAAAATTACACAAGGTACCATGTGTTCAACAACACTACGGAAAAAAGTTACATCGAGCGAACACTTAATTCCGGTTCATATATACAAGTATCGTTAACTTCATTGATCTTTTCTTCAGTAATTACTGTACGGTGTTTCAGTATGCCATGGGTTGTCAACAATAGCAATTTCAGAAAAATATTGAAATGCTGTTCAGTTGGCGAATTTTTATCAATTTAATTTGTAACTACTATTTTACAATGCTGACTTATTCGAGGGTACAAAATAATATAGATTTCATACAAAATACCTATTTACAAGACTATTTTCTAGATATAGTTGCCATAAAAGAACATTTTAAATCTACTGTGTTATCAAGCTTCAGAAGTTTACTGATACGAAATTTGTTGCTGCTATTTATTTACTTTATGTATAATGTACGTAACTAGCTTGTTAAATTATCAATAGTGCTTACAACTTTATTGACCGATAGTAAGAGAAATTAGTATCGCAGAAATTATCGAAGTCCACTAATTTAATATACTTAACAATCAGATTGTTCAAATAACTGTTTGCCGTGAAGTAATGCATTGACTACGATAAATTCGATTAACTCTCTCACCACGATTTCTTGACCATCATGGCGGCTAGGGACTTCTAAATTATTGTCATTATCGCTATCACAGAATGCTGATTCTCCAAGAAGCTTAAGTGTCTTCTTCATAATGTTCATGAGGTGTCAACGTTGTATTTTTTTCTCATACAGTGCTTATAACTTCTGATGAAAAACAGATGACAAGTTTTCGTTTCTACTTCAATGTAGCCCTGATTCTCTTCCATATATAATATAAGATTATGCGTTTTTTTTAGTAAGATTCCTTTTTCAATTGCCGAAAACTATACTATTAGCAAAAGCTGTCTTCTGTAATGGACTATATCTCAACATCAAATAGGAGAAATGAGATTCTTTTCATATTCAATATATTGTTTTTATCTGCATATGAAACATCTTTTATTACAGGACGTAAGTATCCTTCTTTCTTCGGCAGATTTTTGCATAACTTGTCAAAATTTCATTTAACTAAACTTAGAGAGCATTGTTCTTCGTTTGAAAAGATTTTCAACTGGAAAAGTTTGAAACTTTCAATTGAATTCTCGTTCAAAAATTCATACTACTAATTGTTTGTAGTACTCGAATTTCTTCGAGGCAACTAAGATCATATTTGGATGCATATGAGAAGGCTGGCATTAAATACATCGAACTATTCAATAGATGTCACTAGCATCTCAGCAATGCACAATTTTTTTAAGAAGAATTTTGTTTAATTTTTAATTTTTAATCCAGTATCATTATAAATATCTCAAAATGATTAATTTGAAATTGAAAAATAATTTATAAATGAAAACCCTTGTTACGATGTTCATCTTAACCATCCAGCTTTTACTTTATTTTGTCCAACAAAACCTATTTCAACATTAATAAACAACAATGTTAGTCTTCGATATATGATATTATATTCAGCTGTTTTTTTTTCTACGTTTTAGATCTAATTAGATTTCAATTAAAAAAAACAACTTAAAAATGTTGATGCCAAAAAAACATCGTACTCTTATCTACGAATATTTAATGAAAGAAGGTGTCGTTGTTGCTGAAAAAGATTTTGGTCTGGATAAACATCCAGCTATTCCAGTACCAAATATTCATGTCATTAAAGCACTTCAAGTTTGTTAGATTCTTTTTTCTTTAAATTTGGAATCTGAAAAAAAAAATTTCTTTTTTTATTATATTTGTAGTCACTTAAATCACGTAATTTGGTCAAAGAACAATTTGCTTGGCGTCATTATTATTGGTATTTAAATAATGAAGGCACCAATTTCTTACGTGAATATCTCAATTTACCACCTGAAATTGTACCAGCAACACTCAAACGACCAACACGTCCCGAAGGTGCTAAAACAGCTAAACGAGGTAAGAGTAACATGAAATGAAATTTTACTTCTTTTGGATTATTAAAAATGTTTTAGTCGAAACTGCTCGACCAACATCACCATCTGCTGATCAAAGTCGACAAGAATATCGTCGAGGTGGATATGACAAACAAGGTGAAGTTGGTGCTGGATCAGCTCGACCTGAATTTGTAAATTGAATGATTCAACTTTTGTTTTTTCATGAATTTTATTTATTTATTTAGCGTGGTGGTTATGGTCGAGGTCGTCAACCTCCTGGTAATCGTGGTGGTGCCGAACAACAATAAACAAACAAAAAGAAATAAATATAGAAAACAATTTGTTATCTTCATTAATTTGTTTTTGGTAACAAAAAAAATTTCTTCGGCTTGAATAAAAACAGATATTGCCGAAATACTATTTTATTTCTTTATCGAAAAAAAAAAAAGAAAAGAAACGAAAAGATCAAAAATAACCATATGATTACCATTGAATTGTTTTAGATCAGAAATAATTAAACGATGGCAGCGACATCGACCAAATTACGTCCTTTGGTCAAAGGAAAAATTCTTAAAAAACGTACAAAAAAATTTATTCGCCATCAAAGTGATCGATACGTTCGTCTACGTGTATGTTTGTTCTTTTTGAAATGTCTCTCAAAGAAAAAATATATTTTTTCGTTTAACATATTCTAGCCAAACTGGCGTAAACCACGTGGTATTGACAATCGTGTCCGTCGACGCTTCAAGGGTGTCTATTTAATGCCTTCAATTGGTTATGGTTCTGATAAACGTACACGTCATATGCGTCCAGATGGTTTTCGCGCATTTCTTGTTAACAATGTTAAGGTAAATTGAATTCAAAAAATAATGTGCTTCGTTGTTATTTTTTCATATAAATTATTTTTTTTTAATTAGGAACTTGAAATGTTATTAATGCAAAATCGTAAATTTGCTGCTGAAATAGCTCATACAGTTTCAGCACCAAATCGTAAAAAAATTATTGAACGTGCTCAACAATTAGCTATCAAGGTTACAAATCCAAATGCTCGTTTACGTGCTGAAGAAAAAGAATAAACAACAAAAAATCACAAGAACAGCAACAACCAGAAATATCAATATGCATTATTTCTTGTTTGTCTGCATTTTTGGTTTCTCCAATATATTAATAAAAGATCTATGAGAACCAACATATTTTTTCTTTTTAAACATTTTTTACTTGTAAGAACTTATTACAATGTTTATCTTCTATCCCTATGATTTATTCATGTGAAAATGGTATAGAATTCATTGAAATATCATAATATTTTTCAGAGTAAGGATTCTAGTCGGGATAAAGAAAAGTACAGTGGATAAAAACATCTAATGAAGGAACCTCTCCAGACTTCAAATTGCTGTTCGACCACGACAATGTTCATTTGATGAGTAAACGAAAAGTCGAGAATGGTTTGGGCTTTCGTTCCCCTCAGATCAGGTAAAAAATGGACTTTCGAGGTTAACTGATTGCGTAACTAGTGTTTCATTTCTGGAAATGTCAATATATGAAAAAAATATGCTACAACACGTAAGAGAATTTCAAATATTGAATATCTCAGAAAATGCAGATAGAATGTCCTGTAAGTTTCGGCTCAAAAGAATATTTCCATAT